ATCAGGCTCTATGACGGGGAATACTGGGCTCTCACCTCCCCAGAAACTCATCTTACTCTAAGAGAAAGACCCCTTAGTGTGGGGATATTCCTGGATTATGAGGCTGGAGAAGTATCTTTCTATAACATGACAGATGGGTTCCATATTTTCACCTTCCCCAAGAACACATTTAATGGTGTCCTAAGACCACTTTTCAGGCTGTGGTCCTCTGGCTCAGGGCCGTTGAGCATCGTCCATGTGGAGGAGAAGAGACTGATGTAATTCATAGGCCTACCCTCCCCTGAGTAATGATGACATTGGGACCCAAAGATGATCACAATTCTCCCACCAGATACAAATTGATTTCTTCTACTACTGTTCATTCTCAAGATGAAGCTCTGGCACACAGACTGATGATTGCCCTTTATATAATTTTGCCCTCTTTCCTTACTTATAGGCTCCTCTTCTTATCTCCCTATGGCAGCCTAATATAAACATTGTATTGTCGAGCCTCCCCTGCTGAATGTGACTGAATAATGACCAAGGCATCATAAGCTGAATTATTGTGTTTGATTTCTGTGGTGTGTCCTTAAAGGGAAAATGTGTGGTCTTCTTGTTTTCTTTGCTTACTGTTGGCCATAATGTGGCATGAAGGATGGAACTCTAAGGCCATCTCTGACCATGTCAATGATAGGACGGCAGAGAAGACAGAATGAGCTTGGGTTTGTGACAATGTGATAACTTATTTATTGCTCAATTCCTGAAATATTTTCAGTGAGAAATAAACTTTTATATCTGTAAGCCATTTATATGTTGGACATTTGTAATTTGGTTAACAATTTTATGTATTCTTTTGCAACTAAGTGAAAATTTCTGTCCTCATTGTCCATCCTTCATATATGCTTGACCAAATATATATGAATCTCATCATCCATTTCTCATTCTGTCAGTATGTTATGGAAAGTCTCCCACATGAGCAAATGGGTTCCTCTGTACATATGTAGTCACCTGTCACAACTTGGACTTCAGCAGTATCTGGTCATCCTACAATCGTCTCCAGCATTTCTTTATTTTTACCCAGTCAATTTCATGAAAAATTATCCTTAATTTACACTTACAGCCCTTTATCCACCTAATTCCATTCCCACTTTGAAGAAAATAATCTACACTAATAAAAGAGAAACATGGTAATTGGCGTACGACCGCTACCCTTCCCATTGGCTAATCAGCATATCCTTATGCAAATTAACTGTCAGCCAAGATGGCGGCCGGCAGCCAGGCAGCTGGAAGCGAACATGAGGCTTCCTTGCTTCAGTGACTGCAGACTCCAACATTCCCCGCCTCACTTGCCGGCCTCTGAGTTGCAACTCTAAGCAACTATGTACTATGTTGCAAATAAGAAGCTAAACAAAACCCTAGAAACCAGCTTTCAGCCTGCCGGGATCTCAGAGCTGAAGTTATACATTGTTTCGATTATTCTATAATCGAACAAACCAGATACGAAGCCTCAGAGCTAGAGCCAGAGTTAAAGCTGGCCCAGAATAAAATTAAAAAAAGAGAAAAAAAAGGAGCGTTTGGGAGCTTCGTCAACAACCCGCCAGCCTGAAAGCAGCCCTCAGCCCCTAACCCAGACTGGCCAGGCACCCCAGTGGGGACCCCCACCCTGAAGGGTGTGTGACCAGCTGCAAACAGCCATCATCCCCTCATCCAGGCTGGCCAGGCACCCCAGTGGGGACTCCCACCCTGATCCAGGACACCCTTCAGGGCAAACCAGCCGGCCCCCAGGCCTCTATCCTATATAGTAAAAGGGTAATATGCCTCCCAGCACCGGGATCAGCGGAGCCACGAGGCCTCCTGGCACCGGATCAGCGTGACAGGGGGCAGCGCCCAAACCCCCTGATCGCCCTGCAGCTCTGTGTGTGACAGGGGAAGGCGCC